TTCGTATGGTGCGAGCAGCTGCGAGATAAGTATCTCCGATAAATGAAAGAATTCCATACGAACGTTTTGCAAACGTGCATTTGAATTAAATGCACAAGTTCGAAGTAGGCGCCATCCACGCAAGCAAATATCTTCATTTTGTTTAGAAGCCAGAATTTGTACGAGTTTAGATAGGATAATACGGTAGCAAGAACCGAAAAAAGGAGAGGACACGGCGCAAGAGAGGGCTTTATCCATCTTATTCGCATCACCATACAGAACAACTAAGATATAGAAACGTTTTCACTACAGTATATACTAGTTTTCATTTAACATATTAGACAAATATTTTTTTTTTTACCTTTGATTAAACTTGGTATACATTTTTTGATAAGCTCAATTTGCTTTTCATCAATTGGGCAAGTACATGCGTAATCAGGGTCATCTGAAATTCTATAGTCACTTCTTTTTGATACTCCTCACGCAGCTCAATAATTCTATCCTAAAAAAATGTTAATAATTTATTTAACAGAAAGTTGACCATATTTACCGAGTAAAAAAAGTAGCTGTCGTCATAGTCAATGCGATCCCATTCGGTATCGAGTGCACCCAATGCAGGAGGGGCGTCTGCGGTGGCCAATACCTCATTTACCAAATCATACGTAACTTGGCCACCCGAATGCCGCGTATATGTTTTTATATTCTAAAAATATCTTAATATTTGTTGGTCTTTTAAGTGCCTTTAGTATGTACATACATTCACTAATTCCCATAACTTATATGAGACATCCTCCGCGATTTGCGCACTCACTTCCGCAGAAAGTTCCAAATCACTTTGATCATATTGCTCCCAAATAATTTTCACTGAGCGCCCTTCCAGACCAGCATAACTTTTGAAGTGATTCTAGATACGAACAGTTTTATTATTCTGAAATCCAGTTGTAATAACAAATTACCAGTTCCCCAGAGTATTGGGAAATGGTGTTTGAGTGACAGTCCTTGGCCAGATTCAAATCTGGGTCGTTCCGGTTACGTAGCTCCGACTCTCTTGAGAAAATTATTATTTTTTTATTGTTGCTTACCCTTGAAATGTTACTGGTATCAGCAGTATTTGCCCCACTACCGCTATTTGTAATCGCGTTCAAGGGAAAATCAAATAAATTGCATAAATTACTCGTAGGCGTAGTGGGTGTAGTTGCATTGGGCAAAAGGTTTTTTTGATTATTGATGGCCGAAGAACCTTTTGCATTACTACCACTAGTTGACTCACTTTTCGAAGATTTCGTACGCGATTTGGTGGACTTTTTGCATGATTTACTATGCGACGCTTTCGTTGAATCCTCCGCTGAATTTAAATTATTTGATTTCATAATGTGTCGAATACTGCAAAACACGATAACAACAAAAATAAAAAAATTAAATTGTTCACAATTGTTTGAGATTGAAAATAAGAATGTATGAGTTTGAGTTTTGAATTTTTTTCACTATGCGTCAGTAGATATAAATCATGAACCAGCCAGCATGATAAAAACATAACAAGGTAAAACCAAGGCGAATTCATATAAGGTGGTGTTACTAGAACAACTAATTTTTTCGCCCCAATTCGCCTTGGTACACGAATGTCAAAAATATGTTTTGTTTACATTTCATAATTTAAATTTTAATTGTAACGTGAAATTTATTATTCGAAGTGGAAATATTTTTTTAAATAAAGCTTACATATAAAAAAAAGGGAAAATGTGCTTTGTGCGCTAAAAGGTTGGAAGGGGGAATGGGGAAGGGGTCCTTTTTTCCAAGTACCCAGAGAGGCGGAAAGAAGGTTGGTGTGGGGCCGAGCTTGCCGTACGGAGTTTGCAGCAAAGGAGAGGATAGGTGCGGATCACTTCTGGCCTTCAGATATAATAACCTGCACTCTTACATTTTGTCTGATATGGCGGACGTAATCATTAGTTTATTTAAGTAACAATGGGTTTTGCAATGTATATATCATGTATTAATTCCATTAAATTAATTTAAAATTTAAACATAAAAATACATACATATATTGGAAGATCTAATTTTTAATAAACGTTACTAAAAGAGAAGGTTATTGATCTGCTAATCTTTGCCTAGAAATTTAGTTACATACTTTAAAACAAAATAGTCTCACAGTGCCGACATTGCATTGATCGCTAAAACCAATAAATTGAATGTATCTCTCTGTTCGATATACTAGGATTGTTAGCAACCCTGGTAGTTGCTAAAAGTGGCAACGCCGCGAAAAAGAACTGCAACCAACTTTGATATGTTTTTCTCGTCGGCCATTACATGAGAGAAGGACTCCAGACAGCGCGCGAACAGAACACAAGTGTAAAACGCTCCTCGCTTCACGTTTAAGCTTCAACCTACACCGTTCAGCCTACGATTTCTTAACAACTTGCCGACCGCCGTTTAATCCTTCGTATTTTATATGTTTAAATGTACAAGTTACGCACATACGTGTTTGTCAAGTCGAAACCTTAATAATACATTTTTATACAATGCAAATGTCTTTACTTTATTCGTTTTATATCCTTTGTCGGTAAGCAGAAGCAGTTCTTACACTTCAACAACTTTTACACTTTGTGCGCTGTCGGTGAAAACGAATAAAGTTGGTACCGGAGGCCATTTTGTATGTCTGAAACCAACAGATATTTCTTGCGGAATCGGGCTGGTGTTACGAGGAGTAATCAAGGGAGTGAATCAGAGTCATCGTTTGAAAGCATGGATGGTCAGCCAGGTGCAGCCGCAGAAGACACCGCGAATGCTATAATTGCCACATTGAATGCGTTAAGGGCTTCCGTAGAAGAGCTTAGACAAAGCACTGCGGAGAGTCAAAGAGACATCATTAGGCTTCGCGAAGGCATGCAGCCACAGAATGTTCCAGAACAGAGCGTGCAGCCAGCACAGCGTGACAATACTCAAGCCGTCGTAGCACCGACCGACTCGCAAACAAAACTTTACGATTTGCCTGTGTTCAGCGGCAATGTCGAAGACTGGCCGCTATTTTTCGCGAATTTCAACGACACCACGGAAAACTTTGGATACAGCCACCGCCAAAACCTTATGAGGTTGCAGAAGTGCTTAGTTGGTCCCGACAAAGAAGCTGTCGCCGCCATGCTAATTTACCCGAGCAACGTGCCGAACGTCATAAGCGAGTTGGAGTTCAGGTTCGGGCGACCCGACATTTTGGTTAAATTCCAAATCAGCAAACTGCAGAATTTCCCGCCAATAGCCGATAATAAGCCGGAGCAGATTGTACCGTTTTCCTCAAGAGTGAGAAATGTTGTTGCATTTCTGAAGTCTGCAAATTGCCAGCAGCACTTAGCTAACGTAACATTGTTAGAGCAAATGGTGGGTAAGTTACCGCATACCCGACAGTTCGACTGGGCGAAGCATGCTGCGACTATACAACCGTATCCGTCAGTTGAACATTTTTCTGAGTGGCTTAGCGAGTTGGCTAGAATAATTTGTCTTATGCCGACAAACAACACACAGGGTGGCCGGCAGACTGCATCGTCGGGCAATCATCGTCGGCTGATGCATATTGAGCGGCCAAGGGACTCACTTGCTTGCTATCAGTGTAGTGGTAACCACATGCTTGCACAGTGTGAATCGTTTAAGGCAAGCAGTATTCAAGAGCGGTGGGACCTGGTTAAGGCACAACAGCTTTTCTTTTCGTGCCTACGCAAGGGGCATTCCACGCAAAAGTGTCGTTCAAGAAGGAGGTGTAACATAAGTGGCTGCCAGCGCTATCACAACCAGCTACTCCACAACGAAGATGCAACAATGCAGATGCTACGCCGAACTACACCAGAGGACGTTATTGCGCAGCCACTACTGAATTGTCAAGTAACACAAAGCGCACATGGTCAACTGTTTAAAATATTGCCAGTCAACATATATGGACCGAAAGGTAAGCGTGAGATATTAGCGATGTTCGACGAGGGTTCGTCAATTTCAATAATGGAAGAGGAAGTGGCCAAGATGATCGGAGCCCAGGGTGGCTTGCATCCACTTACGCTGCAGTGGTATGACAACAACGTTGTTACGGAACAATCGCATAAAATCAGCATCGAAGTTGAGAACTGCGCAACGAAGAGGAAGTTTCTACTGAAGGAGGTATATACGGTGAAGAACCTGAACCTGCCGGAGCAATCTATGGCCAAGGAAAATTTTCAGAATTTGAGAGATTTGCCGATAAAAAAACTACTGTCGCGCGAAACCAGCTTTGCTCATCGGGCTAAAGCATGCATACGTGGGTGCGACCTCAGCAACAGTGCAAGCCGACATCGACAGCCCGCTAGCTGTAAAAACGCCACTAGGCTGGGTCGCGTACGGCCCAACCAAGCTACCTGCAACCTTGAACCCCCGTGTTTTGTTGGTGAAAGAATATCAGCAACTGCACGACTTAGTACACGAGTACTTCACAGCAGACAGCTTTAGAGTCAACCCGCCAGCAGTGCCATTGGAGTCAGATGAAGACCAGCGAGCACGTGAGATATTGCGCCGAACAACAAGACGAGTAGGTAAGCAATATGAAACCGGTTTACTGTGGAGAACATATCCACCGAAGTTGCCAAACAGCAAAACAATGGCCGAGAAACGCTTACTGACAGCGGAGCGCCAAATGAAGAACGATGCCGAGTTTGGTGCACGATACCGAAAGGAAATGGCTAAGTACGTGAGCAATGGGTATGCCAGAAAGTTAAGCCGTGACGAAGCCGGAGAGCCACATCAAGATGCTTGGTACTTACCTCACTTCGCTGTAATCAATCGACATAAGCCCGAAAAGACGCGAATCGTCTTTGATGCCGCAGCCGCAGTAAGCAACGTGTCACTCAACTCGAAACTAATGAAGGGTCCGGAGCAAGCACAGCCGTTGATACGGATTTTGCTACAATTTCGCCAAGGACGTGTCGCAGTGTCAGCAGACATACGCGAAATGTTTTCGCGGATCAAGATACGCGCAGCTGATCAGCACGCTCAACGGTACTTGTGGCGTGATGGTGATGCGAGCAAGCCTGTGGCAGAGTATGTGATGACGTCGCTAATTTTCGGTGCTGTTTGCTTACCCTGCATCGCCGAATATATAAAAAATAAAAACGCCGAGGAGTATCGGGCACAGTTTCCAGACGCCGCAACGACTATAATTAACAAGCATTATGTCGATGATTTAGTTGCAAGCTTCGACACGCCTGAACAAGCCATCAGTATCTGCAGCGACATTGTCAGCATCAATTCACAAGCAGGTTTCGAGTTACGTAACTTCGTCTCCAACTGCGAAGAAGTAGAAGATCGTTTGAATCATTCGTCATTATCCGCGAGAGAAGTGGTTAGTCTGGAACGCAACGAGTCAGTGGACAAAGTGCTTGGCCTCTTCTGGAACACTAGCGATGACGTTTTCGAATTCCACACGAAGTTCCACCGTTTGCCGAAAGATGTCCTGCACGGAACGCGAGCTCCGACAAAGCGAGAGTTGTTACGAATCGTGATGTCGGTGTTCGATCCATTTGGTATGTTAGCAGCATTTTTAATTACTACTAAAATTCTCATTCAAGAAGCGTGGAAGTGCGAGATTGGATGGGACGAAGTTCTGCCTCAAGAACTAAGCAAGAGATGGTGGCCCTGGTGGCAAGAGTTTCCTAATGTGAAGCAGTTGAAGATACCCCGCTGTTATTCGCCGCGAATCTTATACGGTGGCAAAGTAGAAATCCACACTTTCGTCGACGCCAGTCAAGTTGCATTTGCTGCGGTAGGGTACGTGCGAGTAGTTCATACTAGAGGAGTTGACGTTCGCTTTATTATGGGTAGAACACGCACAGCGCCAGCGAAACTGATGTCGATCCCGAGACTCGAGTTACAGGCGGCAGTATTGGGTACCCGCTTGTACAAGCTCATCGAGGACAGCCACGAGTTCAGCATAGAGCGAGCAGTTTTTTGGACCGACTCCCAGACGGTTCTGCAATGGGTTAGCTCGTCAGAAAGAAAGTATAAGGCGTTCGTCGGCCATCGAATAGCCGAGATTCTCTGCACTACGTCAAAAGAGCAGTGGCGAATGGGTGTCAACTTGTCAAAATGCAGCAGACGTAGCAACACGCCCCTTGTGTCCACCAAAGTTCGACAGCAGCAGCCGTTGGGTAAAAGGCCCCGAGTTCTTACAGCATGACGAAGAGTATTGGCCCACGTCTACGATCACAGCGTCACCAGTACTCCCAGAAGAAATATCCGTTCCAGTTTTAGTGGTTCAGCACGGCAGTTCTGTCAAAAATTTTTCAAGGTTTAGCTCAGCAACAACACTATTTCGAAAACAAAGCAACAGTACAACACCCATGTCGCCGAGCCTCACAGCAACGGAGATAAAGAAAGCAGAGCATATGGTATGCGAATTAGTCCAACGAGAATGCTTTTCGAGCGAGATCGCAGGTTTGTCAGTCGCCGGTAAAATCGCCAAAAACAGTTCGCTGTATAAGCTTTCGCCATATCTCGACCAAAATGGCTTATTAAGATTGAGCGGCCGAATCGACGAGGCAACATACCTACCAATGCAAGCTCGACGACCGATATTGATGCCTGCCAAACATATCGTGTCAAGCTTGATCGTACAACATTTTCACAAAATAAATCATCACCAGAATTTCGCAATCACAATTAATGCCATCCGACAACAGTTTTGGATACCGAATTTGAAATCGCTCCTCAAGGCAGTTCAGCGAAGGTGCCAGCAGTGTATGATCGACAAAGCAAAGCCAAACCAACCTATGATGGGTCAGCTGCCGGTCGACCGCATAATTCCGTTCATGCGCCCATTTACTTATACAGGCGTTGACTTGTTTGGCCCTTTTAATGTCACCATCGGAAGGCGCAAGGAGAAAAGGTGGGGCGTTATATTTACCTGCCTGACAGTTCGAGCTGCACACATCGAGCTAGCTGCTAACCTGAGTACCGATGCGTTCATTTTATGCCTGCGGAATTTTGTAAACCGACGTGGAACGCCATCCAGAATAAGGAGCGATAATGGAACGAATTTCATTGGCGCACAAAGGGAGTTGAGAGCAGCTGAGCAGTTGTTAGACACAGACCGCATTCAAGATGAGGCTAGCAGACACAACATCGAGTGGATATTTAACTGTCCGCTGAACCCCATTTCGGGTGGCTGCTGGGAGCGTTTGATAAGGATTATAAAGTCGCTGTTAAACAAGACGTTGCGTGAGGTAGCTCCAAGACCCGACACTCTGCACAGCGTATTAATAGAAGCGGAGAATATCATCAACTCCCGACCGCTAACTGACCTGCCCATAAGCCATGAAGAAGATGAGCCGCTAACACCCAATCACTTCTTGTTGGGATGCGTAAATTCAACGCAGACGCCGCACCCAGTTGACGAGAAGGTTTGCCTAAGGAAGCAGTGGAGAATCGCGCAGAACCTCAAGGATCGGTTATGGAAGCGATGGACAACCGAGTACCTGCCTCAGCTACTATGCCGCACCAAATGGCAGGACAAAGCAATACCGCTTCAAGCTAACGACCTGGTGATATTGTGCGACTCAACGCTGCCCCGCAGTTAGTGGTTACGCGGCCGCATAACGCAAGTTTTTCCAGCCAAAGACGGACAAGTACGTGTCGTGGAGGTACGAACGAGGGGCGGACTTCTACGCAGACCAGGTTCGCGTTTAGCAAAGCTAGTGGTTGGTGGTGAATCCTGTGAGGATTCACGGGGGGCGGGATGTTAGCAACCCTGGTAGTTGCTAAAAGTGGCAACGCCGCGAATAAGAACTGCAACCAACTTTGATATATTTTTCTCGTCGGCCATTACATGAGAGAAGGACTCCAGACAGCGCGCGAACAGAACACAAGTGTAAAACGCTCCACGCTTCACGTTTAAGCTTCAACCTACAACGTTCAGCCTACGATTTCTTAACAACTTGCCGACCGCCGTTTAATCCTTCGTATTTTATATGTTTAAATGTACAAGTTACGCGCATACGTGTTTGTCAAGTCGAAACCTTAATAATACATTTTTATACAACGCAAATGTCTTTACTTTATTCGTTTTATATCCTTTGTCGGTAAGCAGAAGCAGTTCTTACACTTCAACAAGGATAAACTCACATCCAACGACAAAAGTAAAATGGAGGGTATTACTCACAAATGAGTTTTATATGAAAAAGTGCAACTAAGCTGCACATCACGTGAAATCATGGGCCATGGAACCCACTTTTTCAAACGCATAATCTGCGTGAGGCAAACGCTTCTTCAGCAAGCTTTCCAGCTTGCGTATGCGCCCAAGATCGCCACCATCTTCAATTTCATTTGAGCCACCGCTAAGGTTGTCAACACTAAAAATAAATGCACATTTGGCATAGATGTGGAAGCACATCTTGACGCCGACGATGTAGCATTCTCATCTTCATTTGAAAACAAGGCCCCTTGCACCGGTGCAACACAACTTTCCACAGCTAGTACATGAGTAGACTATTCGTATTAACACCCAGATAGGCTTTGATTTTATCATGAAATAAGCCCATTGTGGACGAAGCATGTTTTCACCACTTAATATTCACTAGTACTATTTAAACAATTCACATAACGTCGCTTGAACATTTTTATTTGTACCTTTCTTTCAAGTAATTCGCCTTAGAAATAAACAGCTGACTTTGGCATGTGTTTACCAAAGGCGAAAATGATTTGTAACTTGTTCTTGTTTTTGTTCTACCGCTACCACCTAGTATAAATTCGCCTTGGGTAAAACCATTGAGAGGCAGTCTGACGTTTGCCAACCAGTGTTGTCACCCACATATTTTTTCCCTACCAAAAAACGTACCAAAACGCTTTTGAGAGTCCCAAAAAGATTTTTTAGCAGTAATAACAAATGTTTTTTCTCATTTAATATTGAAGAAAAAATCTATAAAAAAAATTAAACATAAATTAACTTCACTAAATGAATGTTTGACAAATTTATTTAGAAACTAAAGCTTTAAATCACAGAAGCTAAGAGAAATACATCCATGACACACAATGTCGATGTGCAAAATTTTTTATTTAAATTTTGTATAAAACTTTAGTTCATACGATAACAAACAAGCATACTTTAGAAACACTGTTCAAAAGTCAAGAAAACTCACCAAAGTTCACCAAAGGCTGAACCATCCTTGGAAAGCTATGCAAAATTGGTGTGCCACCAGCTCTAGACATTCTTTTGTTTTTAACACTGAAAAATATATGCATATGTTTGTACATAGTTCAAAATAGAAAATTGCAGATATTTATAAAAAAATATAAAATATTTACGTCTCTGTCACGCCTTCTTGGTTTGGGGTTTCTTGAGTTGAATTAATGTAATTCGCCCTTTTTTTGTTAGGAAATCTGCAAACAACTACAAATTTACTAAATTTATTGCCCTTCAAATTAGTTTAACTATTTTACTTTTCCATCACTCCAATACAAACTCATCCGTCTTTATTTACTTATTGCAAGGTGAACAAGAATTGTAGGAATCTGCACTGTTCGTTCGACGGCTTTGAGATAACTTGTAATGAAGATCGTTTAACTTATTGAACTTTTAATTGGCGATTAAAATGAATATAGAAAAAATAAAAAAATATATATATGGAAATAAATAAATATTATTTTCCCGAGCTGCCGCTTTTATGGAAAAAGTACCAAAGCAAAATCATCGTACCAAAGTACCAAATTATTTTCACAGTACCAGTTTTGGTACGAAAGTACTGAAATTGGCAACACTGTTGCCAACAATACCCAACAAGCAAAATAAACTTAAAGAAAGTTTTTTTAAGTTTTCGATTATAAACATTAATCTTACAAAACGTTGATTTTTTGTTTATAAAACGCTTGAAAGTAAGCGTAATATAATCGAAAAGGAACATTGGTTATAAGCGTAGAAATATAAACTTGTAATAAATGTTCAAAAGAAAGCTTTTTATAAGCGTAAAAGTGTAAACTTATCATAAAGGTTCAAAAAAAGTTTTTTATAAGCGTATGAATATAAACTTACTAAAAATTTTCCAAAGAAAGTTTTTTATAACCCTTTATTTAAAGATATTTCATTAAAAACTCATACATAGATTGCTTAACAAGTAGAAACTAAATGAATTGCGAATTTTCGGCAGACTCATCTACAGTCGCGAAAATATAAATAGGGAATAGACATTTTAGCATACAAATTCACAATAACGCATACAAATTAAGCATAAAAAAGTTAATTATTACATCTTGTTGCGTGTTTTCAATTACTTGTGGTTATTGGCAAATTGGAAAAGCGACATCGATGCAGCTATATATTCCGCTTCATCGCCGCCATTCTCATTGATGAACTTTTCTGAAAAAAATTTAATACATTTTTAACTGAATGTTAAACTAAGAAAGGATAAGGATCATTTTAAGACTCGAATGCTCCACCGATTAGCGCAGCGGGTCCTGGATTGGACTTTTTTTTTACCACATCGGTTTTATTTAATTTTTTCTTTTAATAATATATTTTAAAAAACGTAAACACGTCACTTACGCTTGAAAAAATTTTATATTTACTACTTCATGTAGTTGGCATTTACATTTCATTTCTAAGTTTAAGTTATTTATAAACATTCGCTCTCAAAACTTATTAAAGGTTTATTTGAAAAAACGTTTAATAAGCTTAATATTAAAAATGCTTATTTATCGCTTATTATAGCAAACTTAATTTAAGTTATTTTTAAAAACGTTTACCGAAATGCTTGTTGGGTATAATTTTAAAATCAAAGCTCAAACTCAAACAACAACAATTGTGAAAAATTTACTTTCAATTTTATATGATTTTAAAATCTTGGCAAACGTCAGAAAAAAATCATGGCCGACGAATTGAGAGAATGAATTTACCTTGTAATATTTTTATCATGGTAGCCAGTTATAATCGCATTTAAGCAGTGTTTGCATTATTCAACTTTCCGTTCAACAATTGCGTTCAACTCAACGCAGGGTTGCACGAAAAAAAAGTTGAGGGGCTAAATGTTGGCTGGTGACCAACTTTGTTGAAAGCGATTAGTTGAAAGGGCATTCAACCAAAAGTTGAATGCAAAGTCGAACAATGCAAACACCTTTTTATGGCGAATATTTTGATATTTTTTCATATTTTGATATTTTTAGCCATTCAACTTTTTTTTCGTGCAACACTGCGCTGTTGAACGCAAATGTTGAACGCAAAATTGAACAATGCAAACACACTTTTAGGAAAAAAGTTTGGCGACTTTGACATTAGGCTTTTGTTTACATTTGTTCGTTCTTTACGATTTGGTGGTGGCTTTTTACAGCAATTTTCTTAATTTCCGCCTGTGACAACGTGTGTACACGTAATGTAATAATTTAACACGACATGATTTATAGAAGAATTTGCATAATAAAAATGATTATTCATGCGTTCAACAATTACGCAGTTTTTTGCGTTCTCTTCGTTGTTTACTTGGGACACGAATTTCGATACGATACGATACCATATCGATACTTTTGGCATTCGATACCGATATTTTCTACTCGATAGTTTTAAAACGATATTTTTTGGAACCTTTTGCAACCCTGTAATGACATCTGAGAATTGTATTTTTTGTAATAAACTCTCTTGAATTCTGAATTTTTAAAGAAAAGACACGCGGTTTTTTCACTTAACCTTAATTTTATACAATGATAATGTTATTAACAATTCTTCCCGATATAAATTGGGCTTTTAAGAGCAGAAATGTGTAATATAGTTAGGATTGCATGTGGTGGAATTTGAACCCGCGACTTCGGTGTTTTAAGACAACACCTCAATCTGTACATGTTGTTATACAATCTAATCTGGCCACAACCACAGTCGTCGCGTAGCCCGGTCGGCGCCAAAATAATGATCTACATAAGAGTACGTGTTAAAATAATTTGACAGCTATGGTCCATAGCTCGTCATGATGTAATAATACAAGGTGGTATCAGTTGTGACAGCTCGATTTGACACTACCTTAGCTCAGTAGAATGAGAAGAAAACCGGGAAGAAATGAATCCCCATATGGGGGAAAAATATAAAATTTCACATTTTCTCCTTAACAAAATTTGCTTTTTTATAGTATATTCGTTATGAAATGAAATAAAATAAGATAAAATACCTTTTTAAGAAAACAAAGTGCGTATACTGAGAAAAAATAAAAAGCATTCAACTATATTAATGGGAAAGAATAGTGAAAGAAGTAACACTGTTTCACGTAAGGTAGTCAATATGGCGGAATTAGAGCGAGATGTTGCCAACTGCTAACACCTTGTATTATTGCATCATGATAGCTCGTCGTTTTCATTGTGTTCGGGCTATTAATGTTGTGGCACAAAAAGGGTCACTACAGTTTTATGTCGACTTTGAACAGCGATTTTGTTTTAATGGCAAGCTGTTTTTCATTTCTAAGTTTTGAGCTCTTCCAATCATTACACCACAGCAGCCTATATACGAGACCTATATTCATATAAATTTTTTGGATTTTGGTATCGATATTTGGAATATCGAGTCTTTTTATTCCGATATTAATTGGTTCCCGATATTTTAAAAGCGATACTTTAAATGAGTACCATATCGGTACTTTCTGTCCGATATCGTGTCCCTATTGTTTACTTCTCTCAACAAAGATGACGTCGAGATTTCAACAGCTAGAAAATAACTTTTTTCTTTCTTTCGGGAAGGCGTGATCTTGTGTCTTTCGTTCATGACCAAGTAGTGTCTTTGTTCATGGTGTCTTTCGTTCATGGATATAAATCGATACTATTCTCAATTTACCAAGTAGTTTTTTACTCGATACTCTTTACTACGATGAAGTGGGTATCGAAAAAAGTACTTGTATCGGAAGCCCCAAACTTATTAAGGCTGGTTTTTATTAGGTCAAAATCATTTAGGGGATTCCCTTAAGCTCGAAAGTGGCTCGAAAACCACGAAACCTCGAAACTTTTCCAGCCTCGAAAAACAACTGTCAAAAATTGTATGAGTGGCGATTTTCGCGTGCCTCGAAAACTTTCGAGGCAAATTAGTCGCGAAAAAAGCCTCGAAAAGTCGTTCGTAAGTTTCAGTGTTGCCTTTATATCCGAATATTCTACGAACTTACTAATTAAATAATAAAAAATTAATTAAAAAATATGTAACTATAATACTTACTAAATTAAAAGAAGTACAAAAGTACAAACCGTCACTTGGCCCAAATATTTCGAGCACCATTAAATTGTTGACTGCGTTTTGATCAATAAATTCATACAATTTACATTTTTCACTTTTTCGTGGCATTTTCAATGCTGATTTTATATGTATTTATTTCAGCTGATGCGATGTATTATACAAAAAACTCTGAATGAGCTGTCAAACTTCGGAATTTCTGCAAAAAGATACATTCCCAAAAACAGCCTCGAAAACTTTCGAGGTTTTCGAGTTTTCTGCTCTTCGCGTTTAAGGGAATCCCCTAATTGACATCAAAAACTGCTTTCATCTGCCAGCTGTTCATTTGATGTCAAATGTGTTTTCATTACATTTTAAAAACTGACCAAATGTCGATACCGCAGTGCATGTCAAAGACTGTCGTCAAATTTCGGTGTCAGATGATTGACATTCCGTTTTCAGTACTGATGTCAAATGTGATGTTAAATTATTACAAAATGTGCAGAATACCGACCGTTTAGCTATAGACAAACCAAAAATGTAATTGGATAGAATTCTTCATGCTGATTTTAACCTCACCAAAATTACTTAGCTCAAGTAAAAAATTAAGAAGATATAGTAGGTTAAGTTAATTTCGATATTTTGAAATATCAGTATCTTATGCACGGTGCAGCGAACAAAGGTGGCGCCGTCAGTGGTACCGCTATTTAGGTTTTGCCGATTTTGACAGTTGTGGTAACTTGTAAATAAACCTTTGTTTACAAATCAGCAACAAAGACAATTTTAATTATAAGTGAAAAGTCAGTTTAAATGGTGTTAATTTGCAATTTCTGAGTGATTTTTGAGTTGAAGACTGCGTAAAAACTACTAGAATGAAGTGCCGTGTGTTAAATTTCGACAGCCGTTAAGATGCGAGATGCGTAGATGATGCAAGTGTAGCGCTGTCACGAATCACAGCATTTTGTGTACATAGGGCACGGCATTTCTTGAGAGCTGCATACAGGGCTTAGGGCCGGTTACTCAATGTCTGGTTAACACTAATCTCCGGTAAAACATCGTTATCGACGATACCGACTCCATGTTATATGCATGGAGCCGAACACGTCGATAATGATGTTTAAACGGAGATGAACGCTTGTGTCGTTTACCAAGAAAATGCAGCCCTGTCGGTTTTTATATCTGTATCACATCGCGGTGAGTTTCTATTTCTTGGTAATTCGGTTTCTGAAACGGTAAACAAATTATTGAAATTTATTTATTTGATGGGTTTAACATTTGATTAATGCAATTTTCTGTCTTTTCAGACTATTAATTACAAGCACAGTATCATCAACGGTGATTGTAAGAACTACTGCAATCCCTGCGGTTTTTCCTCTGTTAAATGCGTTCTATAGTGCGATTCCCATTTTTCTTAACGACCGATATTCGTTATTGATAATGAACGGCGTTTGTAGCTTGCAGTAGCGAATAGGCTATTCTCAAAAACACACTTAACGACAGAATTCGTTAGACATGTCGATAAAGAAGATTACAACGATTGTCGTTAATTACAAAGCCAAAATTGGTCTCATGAAAAGATCATGTATGTAAGTACCTAGGAAGAAGATATAAAACACTAGT